TGCTTTCAATGGTCACCACTAAAAATACCTCTGTATATATTACTTTCTAACATCTTATTTCCTTGCCTTCTACTTTCTAAAATGGTACCAAAATATGAATTTTTAAAAATTATACTTTGATGCTTACTGACAAGTTGCTTGCTAGAAATATTATCACTTGCCAATGTTCCCAGTGTGCTTCAATTTATATTTTAGTAACTAAAATATAATTTTGACTGTTTCCTTCCGGATAAATTACATGTTTGTGACACTTTGAATTTTTTGTTATATGAAATATGAGTAATGAACTATTACATTTACACAAGTTCTTTACATATTTTGGTAATAAGTCTTTTAAAGTATTTATCATATACATTTTTGTCCTAATTATGTGATCTTTTTCTCAGTTTCATTTTGTTATACAGGCATTTTTAACTTGGTATGTCTGGGTCAATCAAACCAAAGATCTTACTGAAACCTTGTTCAATTCTCTTTTTCATTTTATTTCAAAGACTATATCTTTGAATCACATAGAAGTTATTGTGATGCTTTGTAAGAAGTATGAATATAAAGTTAATTTTGCTCTATATTATTTATCTCTAAAATAACTGCAACATGTATTAAAATTGTTGCATTGCTACTATTTGTGAAATACCTCATTTTTAAATAATGTGACTATAGTGAAATTATGTTCTGTACTACTTAGATAATAACAATAATGAAGATATTTTAAAATTTGAAGGAAATTGCCAAATTATAGCTGTAATGCCTTTTTTTCCTTATGGTACTGGGGACTGAACCCAAGGCCTTCTCACTGAGCTATATGCCTAGCTTTTTTAAAATTTTGAGATAGGGTCTTGCTATTTTGCCCAGTCTGGACTTGAACTTGTGACTCTCCTGCTTTAGCCTTCCAGAGTGCTGGTATTATAGTCATGTACATCATGCACAGCTTCCTTAATGCTTTATTTAATAGAAAAATAAAAATAAGTTAAATATTTAACTTAATCTAGAAAATAATATAAAATAATAAAAATAAAATTATATGTACAATTTTATGTTATTAAATTTGACAGTTTTCTAGAAAGAAAAGACATTCTAGGAAAAAAATAAATTATGAAAACTGACTTAGGAGAGGAATAACCTTTCAATAATTTGAAAAGTTTGTAAGCTAGCTTCAAAGAAAGATTATAAAAATAATTGGAGAGGAAGAAGTTGCTAATTCCAATCAGTTTTATGCATATTATTTTAAATTTCCAGAAACAGATAAATCTTTTTTGCTTTAACTATTATAGAATGTCTAGTACTAGAATAACTGCTCAGAAACAAAAGAAACAAAAACCACAAAAACTGCAAAGATGGTTCAGAGAATAATTATAAATTGATCTTAATATGTGAACACAGTTATAAAAATCATAAATGTAAGTCAAACCCAGAGCAATATTTAAAGAATACTTAGACTGTAGCCAAGTAGGGTTTATTCTAGGCATGTAAAATACATTCATAATAGAAAATCCAAAAAGATTTAATTATATTATACCAAAGATTTGACAGTGCTTTTCTCTAAGTGATATGTTTGTGAATGGTTTTAATTTTTTCCTTTGTGTTTTTCTGTACTAACAACTTACAAATTTCCTACAGCGAATGTGAGTTGCTTGTGTATTTAAAACAACTAAAAACAGTACTGAAGGTGTTTGATCATTCTTGCCTTAAAGTACACATTAAACCTAGTGGAAGAGTCTCCCTCACTGTTCTCTTACTTCCTACTTTCCACCATTCATTGAGCTCTTTACTTATTTTTCCACATAATTAATTATACTTTCTCTGGATTAAACTCTATAGTATTTTGGTAGAATTTTAAGTGGTACCTTTTAAATATTTAAAGTATGAATTATTATCATGATTAATATATTTAACTAAGAAATTACTACATTTCCTCTGAGGATTTTATTATTTTTGTTTTTACTGTATCTTAAAATTTCAACTTTATTATTTTTGAAGTATGTAATGATTTGTTGCTTTTATTAATAGTCTTCTAATACAATCCCTAGCATCATATGATAGTTTTTTAAAATTTTATCAGGATTATGACTTTTTTTTAAAAAAGACTTTTATCAGATAACTTGTAATTTTACTAATTTTATATTTTAAGTGTAACAAAGTTACCATTTTTCCTTAGTTTCTAAAGTTTTAATTCAGAATTAATAGAAACTATGTATTTTGTTTTTCTTAGAGTAATGGTACTAACAGAGGTGAAGATGTTTTCTGTGACCCTGAAGATGAATGGGAACCTGACATTACAAATGCACCAGTTTCTTCATTTTCCAGAAGGAGGTAATAATGCTTTTGCTGATGTTTTTTTTTTTTTGTGGCTATATGAGAGAGAGAAAGCGGGAGAAAGGAAGAGGGAGGTAAGGAGGGGAAGAGAGAGAGGATTTTAAAACAGCTGTTGTGATGGACAAGTTTTTGAAGGGAACTGAGAAATATGAGTGGAATAGTATGTTAGTGATTAAATTACTAGAGCATTAAATTGCTTATCAGTCTGTTAGAGGAACAAAAATGTTCAGTATTTTATCATATAAATTTTAAGAGCAACTTAGGGTAGCATAAATCTAATTTCCTATAAAAAGAACAGTGTTCCTGTTAAATTACCCTTTCTTAAGAACTTGGCATATTGTATAATATTTTATTGTAAGTTATAGAATTCTAAATGCAGGCAAGTTAGTATGAGCACCTGAAAGAATAAATCATGGCAATAGACAGCTATAAATGACAAATGGGGCTTATTAATTTAAAACATAAAAGACTTCTTTCTATAGCAAAGAGATGGTGTTCAGGGAAAATCTAGTTCTGCTTAGCCCTCAACTGCTCGGATTGTAGAGGCAAAACAGTTCGCATAGCCCTTGCACTTTAAGCAGTTTTGCCCTTTTATTTTTAAACAAATACATCTGTGGTGACTACTCTTTGCCATGCCCTGAGGAAAGAAAGATGAATACAAAATACTCCCTGTCCTCGTGGCCCAGGAACTGAGGAAAGTAGAGGTACGGCAGTTAATAAAGACCTGAGCTAAGGCCAGGCAGAGGACTGGAGAGGAGAATCAGGCTTTTTACATGTGTGTATTTGAGGTGCGCCATCAGTGTGACGTGGTGACTGAAAGTGTTGACTGGCTCAGGCGTGATGCTGGATTTTAGGTTGCATGACTGACTAGAGGAAAACGATGTTCCCTGAGGTGGAGGGTAGGTGTATTTTTTGAGCATGATGAATTTGAGGTTCCCAGGGAACATGTAGGTAGGTATCTATGTTCAGGTCTGAAACTTGGAAGAGGGGATTTAGGGCTATCATTATCAAGACCATGTATTGAACGCTTTCAAAGCATAGATCTCATTTGGTATTCACCACAAACCTATGAAGTAAGTGGTGTGACTAACTCCCATTTTACAGATGAAGAAACTGAAAATAAATGCAGTTAAATAATGTGTCTAAAGTCACAGAGCCGATAGGAGAAAGAGCTGACTCTCAAATCAAAATTTGGGTGACTCCGAATCTGCCAATTTTCCTAATTGCTCTATCATGTTGCTTCTCCATTGCAAATGAGAGAAGGGCATCTGGAGTGGCATCTTTCTGGTTAAATTGTTTGTCTGTTTTAAATTTCATTGCTTTCAGTTGCAGCTCAGGATCCATTTGGGTTTCTAAACATTGTAGGCCTCTTGTTTTTGACAATGCTTATTGTAAACTCATTTGCTTTCTCAAAGAGAATGAGCGACTGTACAGTAACCTTTAGATGTCTGCTTTATCTGTTACATGCTCCAGCTAGCCTACAGTAAGAAGATGCTGAGACTACACAAGGATTATCTTGAATGAAACACAAAGCATATTCTCCAAACAGATTCTGAACTCCGTCAGTATAGGAAATCTATCTGCAATGTAGTGTTGTAAAAAGGTCACAGCTCCAGTATCAGAGCTGTGGGCTTTAATCTATGCTCAATGCAGTCATAGACAAGTGACCACACATCTTGAGGCATCAGTTTTCTCATCTCTAGAATGGAGACAGTAATATGTACCACCCTCTCTGGGATTTATCATAAAGTTTAAATAAGGTCATATGTATATAGCAGCTGCTTTTGCTACTTTTGTGACTACTGTGATCTGTAACACAGAACTGGTGATGATGATGTTACAAAGTTGTTATGAGGATAGCAATAATATAAATAAAGCCACCACTACAGTGGATGGGTGTTCAGAAATGGTAGCTTGAACTTTTGTTGAGTGTTTGACAGATATATAAAATTAAATCTTAGAATACACAGAAGATAGAATTTTTGGTTCAGTATCTCCAGGTGATTTGTCTGGAGAATTCAAGTTAGAGTTGGGCTCTGGCACTAAAGTGAACTAAAGATAGTCCTTGGGTGGAATTGGTAGACAGGGCTCATGATACTTAAGCCAACCTAGAATAATACAAACTTCCCCAAAATTTAAGCCAGACCAACAGATTCATTAGAGAAAGACTGATGAATTTCTTTGGATTTTAGGATTGCTGCTTTCTTACTGTTTTCATTATAAGAAGGGATAAACCTTATGTACTTAGAACTGTGTATCACTCTGTGAGCACTAGTAATCAATGAGCACTAAAATTTTAACCTATTGAATATTGGTAACGTTTTATTTCTTGCTGACTTCTAGGTTAATTAGCAAATCAACAAAAATTTAGAATGTTACTGAAAAATCAAAACGATTTTATAAGATTTTGAAAGTGTTTTCATTTGGCAGAGATATTTTTGAGAACTTCTATAATTTAAAAGTATCATATTTTTTAAAAAATGAATTGCTCTTAGTGTGAGACCTTGTGCATGAAGTTTCAGCCTTGTAAGGATGTTTATGACAGAATTGCAAACTCGAGAATGCCTGCAGGTAATGGAAACACTGACAGATTCTTAATTATAGAACTGCCACTGGGCAATGAGATGCCACAGTTCTTCTGCAATAAAATAGGCTGGTTCCTCTGCCTGTAAATTTTGATATGTCCTGTTGACAGTTAAAAGTAAATTTTCTTCTGAGGTTAAGTAAAAACTCTTTGAAAGGAATGTGACAAGCATTTTCTTTATTTGTATTTAAACATTATTTAACTATGATAATGTTGCAAGAATAAGAATTTTTCCAGTTTGGACGTACTAAAATAATGTACCTTTTCATTTCACCCCTAATTATAAAAACTGTAGTACTGTATTTGAGAATTGTTTTCTTCTCTTTTTTATCCATATTTCTGTTTTTCTTATAAGGATTCACAAGGAGGAATTATGTTTGAAGCATTTAGTCTACTACTGATAAAATGCTTTTGTTTAACTATCTGTTCAACAAATAATATTTTCCTTTGAGTGGTCAACAGTAGTAGAAAGTTTTGTTAGGAAAAGACACCACAGGATTGACTATATTTAGATCTAGGTCACTGCTTAAGTTGTTTTATTTACATAATGAGCTAGTCTTGGAGTTTAGAAAATTGATAGATGAATGGCAACATGGAAGTAGGCTGCTGCTTCCAGGAGCAGAAAGAGTAGGCTCCTTTTTGGAGAAGCAGTTACAGTAACGGCTAAATAGCAGTCATACTCAAAGGAGAGATTTCTGCACTTTTATAGGCTGAGAGAAAAGAGCATTTGGGGATAGAACCACTGACTCAGTTTGTGCTGTTGCTACACCTCACAGTTGTGCTTTGCACACAGTGTCACAGGTATTTATTTTGATGTGTACTTACCCAGGTAATTTCCCTGATTACAGTCCTTCCCTGGGTAATTCGCCCAGGATAAATCCAAGCTTCCTTACCTGGCACACAAGATCAACCTCGGGCTGGCCCCTGCCCTCCACCCAGCCTCATTTCTTGCCATCCTGTCTCACACATCACAGCTGCAGTCCTCAACCTCATTTGCTTCTCCGCATGTGCAATGCTTTTGTCTTGGCGCCTGTATCTGAGTTGCTGTCCTCTGCTTCCCAACCTCTTCCCACCAGTTGAGCTAACTCTTGCTCATGCTTCAGGGTCACTGTTTCAGAAAAACCCCCAATTACTTGGGCCAGGCCAAGTTCTTCTCCAGGATCTGCCACAGCATTCTATGCCTTCTGAACATTCATCTCCTTATTGTACTGATCTGGCTGAGTTCTTTTTGTTTTGGAGTTTAAGCTTAGTGAGGCCAGATACTCTGTCTCCTTTGTTTCAGTACAGAATTCAGAGGCTTTAAATAGTAGTGCTCAATAAATATTTATTCTATTTAATTAACGATGTGCTTAGAATATTACCTGCAAGTGGTAAAATTTTTGCTCAGTAATAAATTTAGCCCTTGAGGGAAAGTACACCCATAAATACCCATTTTCTTCAGAGAATTTAAAAATAAATATTCTTGATAATATCATTCCATGTAGTACATAACTGCTAATATTTTGATTTATCTTTTTTCAGGAGCAGGAGTTTGATGAAAAATAGAAGAATTTCTGATTGTTTACATGATATACAAGTCCACCCAATGCAGAATCTGTGTTCTTCACGTTCATCAGGTATTTTTCTCTCATCATATTTTCTTGGTGAGAAAAGTACCAAGTCCTGGCTCTATCATGAATTTATTTTGTGTTCTTGCACAAATCATCTCATTTCCTAGAAGCTTCTGTTTCCTTTGTAAAGTGAGGAGTATGGCTTAGATAGATGGCCTCTTCCACAGTAAAGTTCTGTACTCTGATGTATATTTTAAGGCTTGGGTTTGATCCATAGCACCACGGGAAAGAAAGGAAGGAAGGAAAAGAGGATGGAAGAAGGGAAGAAAAGAAAGAACGAAAGGAGGGAGAAAGGGGAAAAAGAGAAGGAAAGAAAAGGAAAAAATGCTTAAAGAAAAAAGTATAGGAATTACTACTTTGAATAATTATTTTGTACTAATATTCATTTTACCCATAAAAGGAAGGATATATTAAATTTGTATGTGTAACTACCTTTAATAATTTAAAAATTACTTCTGAGCATAGTGGTGGACATCTGTAGTCCCAGCTACTCAGGAGGCAGAGGAGAAGCATTGTTTGAGCCCAGGCATTGAGGGCTAGCCTGGACAAAAGCCAAAAACAGTTTACTACCTGTAACATTGGATTACTACACAACAATAAAAAAGAAGTAATGACTGATTCATACAGCAACCTGGATGAATTTCCAAGACAGAGTGTTAAGTGAAAGAAGGTATATACAAAAGAATATATATTGTGTAATTCTCTTTACATGAAGTTTATGAACAGGCAAAACTAATCTATTGTGACAGAAGCGATAGTACTTTGGATTAGAATAGTGGTTACCTTTGTTGGGGGATATTGACTAGGAGGAGGAATCTTGGTGGGAGACTCTGGTGGAAATGTTGTATATGTTAATCTAAGTCAGGGTATTGAGGTAAAAAACAGTAAGCTGTACACTAAAGATATGTGTACTTTAGAGTATATGCTATACCTTAGTAAATAAAAAAATTTAATATAGTAATTTTTTTAATAATGGTCTTAATGGAACATGAGTGGCCACAAAAGGAATTATATCTCATCTTGACTTTAAGAAATTTTGAGTTTCCTTTTTTTAATCATGAAATTATCTTTTAGGAAGGTAATTATGATACTACTAAGGTAGATCAAAATATGCTATAGGCTTTTTATCTATTAGCAAAATAAAAAGATACATGTCTAGTAGCAACTTAATTACTCAGTACTATTTGAGAGTCAGATGTTATACAAAAGTAATTTTCAGGGGAAATTTGTTAACCTGTAGCTTTAGGGTTGGTAGCTGTTTGTCTTTCCCTAAATTCTCATCTTTGTTCTAGATTAGTGATGGTGAACCTTTTAGAGCTTTCAGTGATACAAACAGCCTGCTGTGGCATGCGTGCCATAGGTCCCACCCACTACTGCAGACTTTTAATGTTCTCCATTCCATTAACTTATAAACTTCATTCTACTTTCCTTTTTGTTTGCTACTTTTAATCTCCTGTGGACAGGACCAGAAAGCTAATATTGCACATTAGGTGAGAATTATTATACTCACATCTTGGTACTCTAGGATAAAGTTCTTTCTGGAGGATCTGAATGTATTCTCTTAAGCGCTTTCATTTACTTCTGTTTTGGAATGCTTTCTGAAAGTCTCTCCCTTGCAGATATGCTGTATTAACTGCAGATAATTAATAGATTTTAACCTATCTTTAACTTATCTTGACTGTAGTATACCATGAGAAGGAACTATTCTAAAGTAGAGGTTCTAAGAGATCCCTTTTTTTTTTTTTTTTTTTTTGCAATACCAGGGATCGAACTCACGACCTTGCACTTGCCAGGCGGGTGCTTATGCCACTGAGCTATATCCTGAGCCTGAGATTCCTTATTATACAGTATATTGTTGCCTGTTTCCAGTTTATGTGTTAATCAGATTTCTAATTTCATTTTATGTAATTGCCATTATTTCACAAGTTTATAGTTCCTTAGGTGTTACAGAAAATCCTTACCAAAAAGTAAATAAAGAAGATGAAACCAATGGATATATAAGCTAGTTGGATGTTTGTTACACATAGTGGTTGAGAAACTACTCAACCCTAAGAGCTGATGCTTTTGAGAAGTGAGTTGATCACGACAAGGAACTCTCCACTTCAGCATACTGAAATTAGAATAGCCTACTTTGAATTTATTGACCAGTAATTCTATATGTTTGAACATGTGGGACCTGGAAATGAGGCTTAAGACGGCTATTTTCTGGCAATTTAGGTTTAATGGAGAAACCAAGCACCATTTACTCAACTTCAGCAGAATCATTTCTTCCTGGAATATGCAAAGAATTGATTGGTTCATCAATGAATTTTCTTGGACATAGTTTTGATGAAGAAAAAACTATAGCAGATAGTCTGATAAATAATCTTTTAAAAATTTATAATGGGCTACTTGTCATCTCCAAAGCTCATGAAGAACAAGACGAAGAAAGTCAAGACAACTGTAAGCAATCTCACTACTTTACTCGCTCACACGATGATTGTTTTCAACACATTATGCTTTGTTTTGAATAATTGACACATTTGGCAGACACCTATGGATTATGTAAAATATTTTAATGATGTTTGTATGTTGATTCTTTTATTTGGAGATTATTTTTTCCAATAATTTTCCTTCTTTCAAAGTGTTCTCTTCAGATCGAGCAGTGCAGTCATGTACTGTCCAGATTGCTTGCTCTTTTGAGCAGCTTGTGGTTTTAATCAGACACTGGCTGAACGATTTCCTACCTTGTACCTGCATAGCAAAACTGGAAGATGAATTGAGACAGGAAATGAAAAAACTGGGAGGCTACTTACAGTTATTTTTGCAGGTAATTCGATTTATTATTGGGAAAGCGCAATTGTTTTTTGCAGTACATAATTACATTTCTTGTGAAGAGGTGGTACATGTGCATAACACTTCTCAATTCTTTTGTCATCTGTTACCTCTCTTCTTCCCTCTCCCTCCATCTCTTGATCTCCTTCACATTTGAAAAAGATCTACAGTACTCTATCTTTCTTTCTATTTTTTATCTTTTCTTTTGTCCTTTACATGTATTTTGGATTTCTCATATAAGAGAAACTATGCAATATTTAAGGTTGTGTGTCTGGTTTATTTCAATTAATATTATGATCTCAAGGTACATCAATTTTCCTATAAATGACTCAATTTGTCTTTCTTCATGAAAGAATAGTACTCTACTGTATATACATACCTCTTTTTCGTTACTGATTCATCTGTTGATGGACATAAAGGCTGTTTGCAACATTTGGTTAGATGAGTTGGGCTGCTATGCACATAGGTATGCGTGTATCACTATAATATGCCTTTAACTCTTTTGGGAAGATACTCAGAAGGAGGAATAACTGGGTCAAATGGAATTTCTACTTTTAGTTTTTGAAGAATCTTTATATGGATTTCTATAGTGGTTGTATTAGTCTGTGTACCTACCAATGATGTAGAAGGCTTCCTTTTTGTCCCCCACGGCCTCACCAGCACTTACTTGATTTCCTGATGATAGCCATTCTTTCTGGAGTCTGATGAAATCTCAGGGTTGTTTTAATTTGGATTTTTCTACTGGCCAGTGATGAACATTTTGTTAGTATTTATTGGCTGTCTGTACTTCTGAGAAGTGTCTATTTCAGTTGCCCATTTTTTGGTTGGGTCTTTTATTTTGGGGGTTTAATGTTGTTAAATTCTTTATATATTCTAGATACTAACCTTTTGTTTCGGTATAGCTGGCAGAATCTTTTTCCCTTTTTGTCTTTGTACTCTGTTGGTTGTTTCCTTTGATGAGGAGAAACTTTTTAGTCTGATGTGATCCCATTTGTTGATTCTTGGTATGGTTTCTCATACCATTGGAGTTCTTTTCAAAAAGTCCTTGCTTATGCTGTCAAGAGTTTTACCTATTTTATCTTCCAGCAGATTGTTTCTGATCCATTTTGATTTTAGTTTAGTACATGGTGAGATATGGGTCTAGATTCAGTCTTTGCATGTGGATAGCCAAGTTTCCCAGCACCATTTATTAAAGGGGCTCTCATCTTTAATTCCTTCAGTGTATGTTTTTGGCCCCTTTGTCGATGATGAAATAGTCAAATCTGTGGTGGTTTCTGCATCCTCTGTTTTGTTCCACTGGTTCACATTTTTGTTTTTGTGCCAGTACCATGCTGTTTTTATCACTGTAAATTTCTAGTGTAACCTCAGAACTGGGATTGTGATGCCTCTTGCTTTGGCTACTCTGATTCCACATGAATTTTTGACTTTCAGTCTAAGAATTTCTTTTGGGGTTAAGTATGTTTCTTGTAAACAGCATATTGTTGGATCTGTTTCTTGATCCACTCTGCTAATTTATGTTTTTTGATTGGTGAATTGAGACCATTCACATTGATGGTTATAACTTATAGGTATTGACTTATTCTTTGTCACTGTATTATTTTACTGTGGCTGATTCCCTTTCTTCCCCTTCTGCTTAATTGCTTACCCTGCCTGATGCATTTATGCTATTGGGACTTTTAGCATTGTTAGCTTCATTGTCTCTTCTAGGATATCCTTGAGAATTTTTTGGAGTGTTGATTTGGTGGTTGAATTTCTTTAGGTGCTTTTCATCATGGAGATATAACTAATAAATTTTAGAGCTGGATTTGAACCCAGGCAGTCTTGCTATTAGGAAGAGATCATGTCTTCCTCTGACTATTGATTTTAGTTCATGCTGTGTTAGTCATAAGCCCACTGACATAAAGGCAAGGAAAGTAATTTTGTTTCCTGCTTACCTTGTATCAGGTAGGAGTGGGTTTGGCTGTGAGGAAGAAGCAAGATAAAAGTTTACTTTGTCTCATGTAAAAGCTGGAGGTAGGCATGAAAGCTATGTTCCACAAAGTCCAAAGGTTCTAGGCTCCTCCCCAGCCCACCCCTCTGCTGAACCTAGTGTGGCCCTTGATTTAGTGGTCTACTATGATGCACCTCATCTGAGCTCAGTGCAACAGATTGGAAAAAGTGACAAACAAGCAAAGAGCCAAGTGTGTCTTCTTTAAGGGAAGTTTGTGGAAATTACTGTATGGTGCTTCTCCATACATATGCTTGGCCAGAACTTCATCATCTGACCTCATGCTAAATTAGTGAAGCTGGCAAAACCGTGTTAGTGACTACATTTTCTCTGGAAACGTGGTTTAAGAATCCTTACCTTGTGGCAATATGATTAGCATCTTCCAGAAAGCAGGCCAAGAGAAGTAGTTAAGAACCAATGAGGGGAGCAGGGAACAGAAAGAAACTGCTAAGCTGCATTTCCAACCTCTATCTTGTCCATGCATTACCGTCACTTTATGATCTCACGTATCTGACACACTGATCCATCTCTGTCTTACAGGGATGCTGTTCAGATATTTCATCAATGGTAAAAGAAGCTGAAAAGAAAGTGATCCAGATCATACAACGAGCTGTTAAGTATGTGGGAAAGTTAGCAGTTCTAAAAGGGAACAAGCTGTATTTTCTGGAAGGCAGTCACAATAAGGCTGCCAATGTCCAGGTAATTTAGCAATGTTAATTTTGAAAGATTTCATCTGAAAAAATATTAGAGGCTTCTGATGATAGTGTCACTAAACATGACAAATTCATTTTATTTTTCAAAATGTTGTATACTTTTAATAGTTTGACAATACAATTTAACATTTTTTTTCAATCTACATTAGTTATATGTACTAGATGATTTTATAAATATCAGTTTACCTTTTAGAGTCTGGTTTGATGATAGCCATCTACTATGGTAGATTTTCTTATCCAATAAATACCTGAAAAACTGTAATTATAGAAAATTTATATTTGCTTGCTTTAATTATTTATGCTAATGAAACAATATTATGTTAGAATGTTACTGTATGCTAGCAAAATATTATACTGCCTGAAATGATAAACACTCTTTACCACATATTATATGTGGAACACTAAATTATAATTTTACTAATTTTATTTCCTAATAGACTGCTAGTTTTTATTCTAGCCTCAGTTGAACCTCATAAATAAATCTTATTTACCTTATAATTTAAAAAATGCAAAAGCCAGAATTTACCAGTTAATCCTGAAACACCTTTTCTAGGAGGAATTCATCGATGCTATTTGTGATGGTGTAGGCTCAGGAATGAAGATTCTGTTAGATTCTAGTCTGGAAAAAGCAAAAGAACTTGAATATGACCTCTTACGGGAATGTGCACAAAATGAGGTATGACGAATAAAAGAATGTACTAGACAATACCAGATAATGATGAAGTTGATTTTTAAAAAAGTTTAACACAGTGAATTAGATTTTTAGAAGTTTATGTGTCCTAGGTTGTGTTGAAGTGTTAAAGAGACTGGCGATATCGTGATGTCATGGTGATCTCTTCCCAAGTTGTTCTTGAGCTACTACAGCCTCTGCTTTATTAATCTTTTGATGATTTTGACACAGATGTTTCAGTGAGAGTTCAGTCTGAGCAGGGTGGAGTGTGGTAATAACACCTACCTTTCGCTCTCTGGCGTCTTTTCTTTCTTTAAGTCTACTCTTTCAGCTAAGAATGGAAACTATCATTTGTTAACCATTATCTTGAACTAAATATTTTTCAAGGGGAATTAACATCAGTTATTTCATTATCAAGACACAAAACCAATGAGATTTCACTGTCTTCCTAAAGTAGCTTTCTTCCCTACAGCTAACATTAATTTAAACATGAACTTAAAGTATGAAACCAAGGCTGTCATACAGGAGTGCCTTAGGAAAGGTCTGCATTTTGATGTTAGAAGACCAGTGTTTGAAACCTGGCTCTAGCACTTTCCATTTACTGTTTAGCAAATCACTCAGTGCTCTCACCTTGTTTCTTACCTGATACATGTAGTAAAGCCTGTCACAGGTTGTGAGGTATTTGTTGAGTAATTTCCTATATAGTTACTAGAATAAATACTCTACATGTATTAATGGTGAACCTCACAACTTTTGAAGGTAGGTGTTACTGGTATCTCTGAGTTTCAGTGGGTTTGAGTGCCTTGTGTGACAACGAACTATAAAGCCCTGAGGCCAAGATTTTATATTGTCCAATTCCAAAATGTATTGTAAGTGGGTTTTATAAATCATTATCATAGATTCATTTTCTTTACTGAGAGTTACCGTTAGTGAAGTGGGGATCAGGAATATAAAAATTCAAATTTTATGACACTGAATTCCAGAGAATTGATCTAGAATTGTTTTAGAAATTTGTGGCAACTTGTTAAAACCATCCTCTGGCTATTCCTTTTGTCTTGCTGGAGTCAAATGGTTGGGGTGGAGCTACCTGTAGACATTTATTTAGGCTCCTGAGATCTTCCTACTGGTATATCTACTAATTTGCATACATAATGATTAGTCTAGAAAAGTAGATCATGCTAACTTCTACCCCTCTGGATGACTATTTCCAGAAAGGCATGGAATAAGCTAGATTTTTTTTTTTCCTACTTTTTAGGAAAACCTTGACATTAATTTACTTCTGGTTTACCTGAGGTGAAACATGCTATGTAAGCCACAGGGATTCTCCATCCCTTTCCTCAGACCACAAGGGTAAAAAGACTTATCTCTGTCAGACAGATTATCTCAGACTCGGAAGGACATGGACAGCAAGCTGCTTTCCTGGTTCCCAAACACAGCTGGTTCCCAAATACAGCTTTGAATAATGTACCTGTGCCTTAGTCCTTCCATTATAAAAATGAGGCTGATTATGCTTATTTCATAACATTCTGAAAATTATACAAGACTAAGAAACAGTATATTGAGAATGCTAAAAATAGTGCTTGGCAAATCTTAAGTCATACATCTGGCTTGCACCTGTTTTTTTTTTCTCTGACAAAACAGAAGGAGCTCACACTGTCACTAAACCAAGAGCTTTGGGTCTAATCATGTTGCAATAGGCATGATGCTGATTTGGGTTCTGTAATGCAAGTTTGAGCAAAGGGTCATATTGGACTAAAATATTTTAACTATACCTGGAATTTTGTCAGTAAGTTTTTGCAGGCCATAAATACAAAAAGATATAGAATAAGTTAATGAAAATGGGAGTGAAAATAATGTATGTGAATATGTGCTTCTTAGTAAGGTATTAGAATAGGTGTAGATGTTAGCTTTGTTATTTAAGGAAATAAACAGAAAAAGGGTCAGACCCACCTTGTATACAATTTATATTATTTGTATCTTCCTGCAAAACACTTTCTTCGAATTTTCTTTCTACTGTCTGCCATAGCTGTCTTTTTGGTTAATTCTTTTTTTCCCCCTCTTTAATTTTTTCTCATTGTCAATTGGTGTCTTTTTATTGGTACATGTTTGGAAGACTTTATGTTTACATTCCTTGTGGGGAGTTGGTACAGGTACATAACATCTTGTAAGTAAAAACTCAGAACCTACAGCAGAAAAAAAAAACTGTCCAAAGAAACAGAAAATAGGCTCAGGGGTGGGAGTTATAATTTTATAATTTTAAAGAAAATTTTGTTATTAGAGGAAAACAAATTTAGATTTTTTTTTTTAATTATATGAGTTAGCCCTTCATAAAAGCTGTATGGATAAAGCCAATGAAATACTTAGGCAGAATCGCCTGACAATTTAAATTGCACCCTAGGGGGCAGCATTGAGCAGTATAAAAACAAAAGTTTATAATTTAGACTGAGGCTCCCACCCTGGTTATGTTTTAGGAATTAAGTCCTAAGATCTGAGGACATTACCATATGCAGCATAAGGCTGTAATTGAGATCCAAAATAACAAAACATTCTTAAAATTCTTAGAGCATAATATTTGCTTCATATATTATCTTATTCTAAGGGAAGTTTTGGAAATTTCATACTTATATTTTTTAGAAAAGAAAATTCTGTTAAGCGTGGTGATGCATGCCTGTAATCCCAGCACTCGCAAGGCTGAGGCGGGAGGATCATTGTTAGTTCGAGGCCAGCCTGGGCTACAAAGTGAGCTCAAGGCCAGCCTGAACTGCACAGTGATGTCATGGTGATGTCAGCCTGTCTCAAAAAGACAAAAAAAAAAAAAACCCAAAAAACAGAAAAACAGACATCAGCAAGTGTACCTATTTAGTGTGGAAATCAATGAGCAATTTATTTTGAAAGAAATTCCACTTATAAGGGCTGGGAAGATAGCTCAGCAGCATAAGCGCCTGTCTGGCAAGCTCAAAGTCCTGAGTTTGATTCCTGGTACCAAAAGAAAAAAAAAGAAATTCCACTTATATGATTTAGGTACATGCAAGTGTTTTACTGGCAATCTTGGATAGAACTTTAATCTTCTGGCTTCTAGGCTAGAAGTTTTTTTTTTTTTTTTTAATCTAGTCACATTCAGTTTGAGGATACTTATATTTCTAAGTAATTGTGTAATAAAGTATTTTAACATTTTTATAGGTTACCAAACAGATGAAAGCAAATGCCATAGAACTGGTCAGATCTCTTGAAAATATCTTTTCTGAATGGAAAACAGTAAGAGAACTTTTAATTTTTAAAATTTTGTTTATTGTATTATTTCACTTGGTTCAATTGTAGATATTTTTATTTTTATCCCTAGCCAGACACCTACTTTGTGTATGTTTACTTGAAGCATATATGATAATGTTCTAGTTTCCTCTTGGACATCATAACTTACTAGTTTTAGTAACAGATATATCATAGTGTAAAAATTTATTAATATTTTATGTCTTTCTTAAACTGTTGGTTTAGTAACTGTCATCTTTTGCTTGGATAGTCTATTGTCATGGGCTAAAAACTGTTTATCAGTGTGCTCAAGATTTTAAATATAGGTGAATTAGACAAATTATTTGTCTAATAAAAATAAATACAAAAATATAGACTAAGTATATAATTGATGTGTTAAAAGGAGAGTAATTTCTATGGTTTGAAATGTTTTATTTAAATAAAATGGGGGATGTTTTAAAGTTGAATTCTTAAAAGTTAAATAAGTATCTTTTATGGTTGGGTAGTAAATGGAATGGTTGCTTTATTCCATTCTCAAGTAATGGAATAATAGGATTTTAATTTCAAATAACTGAAAATTCCTATTTCTTTTGAAAAATAGCAATTGTTAATTTGTATTTTGGTCTTGTTTGTAGAAATGTAGTTAAATATTGGTAAGGAAATTAAACTTTGTTACACATAAGATACTGGCAGTTAAGATAAGGTTGACTGAGTTTACTGCCATGTAGCCCATTTATATATAATTTTTTTTTAAGTATTACTTTATTTACACAGAAAAGCTTCAGAACTCAAGTACAAGAAGATGATTCTGGATACCAGGATTCCAAGAAGATAACTGACCTTGCCCTGAAATTGTTGAAGTTAAAGCACTGCTTAGAGAAAGCCATTCAAATTAGTATTTCTACACTGAGAGGTATATGCTCTGAGTGGAATTCTATAATTCAGAATTCTATAATTCAAGGGTTCTTAAACATTTTTCCTTTTTCTCTCCTAGCCTCAGTCATTAATAAGTCCACCTAATGTCACTTCATTGATATAAGTTCCAATATAGGAACTTGTGTAATTGATGTCCCACCTGTTATATATGTAATAACTCCTGCCCACATAGTTAAAAAAAGAGGTTTTCATCTAGCAGATTAGCACTTTAGCTGAAGAGTCTTCAGCAGTTTCTAATTGTCTTGAAATGGTCACTTTGACTTAAAAGATATCTACAATCATGTAACAGTAATAAATACCTGATAAAAACTGAAAAGGGTAACAAACTTTTTCCTCTCTTGCATAGGATGCTGCAGCGATGTGCATCTCCTCAAGAATTGTGTCGAGACAATTTGCAGCTTGGTCAGCGATATTTGCAATGACTTCAGTGAGCTCTCTACTTCTGTTGACCACTGTGAAAATAAAATATCTCAAGTTGACCACAGGGAACTAGAATCTCTAGCTAAGTCACTCCTCTTATGTTTTGAATCTGAAGAAAGACCTGATTTATTGAAACCCTGGGAATCTTGTAATCAAGATACTGGAGGAGGAGAAGAAAAAGAAGAATCTAACTCAGGCCAGACTGGGTGCAGTAGGAATAAAAGTGTACCGAAGCGTGTCTATGAACTGCATGAGGCGTGCCCAGCAGCGAGCTCGGAGGTATGCACACCCAGTAGGGTTCAGTGGGTGTGACTGCCAAGGCTGTCCACTTGGTGACCATCCATGAAAAAAGGCAGAGTTAGTAGGCTATTTTCCTTCTGCAGGAGAACATGAAAAGAAATCAGTGTAATTATTTCAATGAAGTCCAGGTGTTTTGGTGGCCTTACATTGGCTGTGAACAGTATAAATATTACAGAATCCTGGTTTCAAAATTTCTGAATGTGCGTGCACTCAGAAGTTTCTCAGCAGACAGTTTTAAATAGGGTATTTATGCTATAGGGATACTGAGGCAACGGAATGAAATCTAGGATTCAGGACCATGTAAATGGTCATGTCTCCATTTTCTCATTGTGTTGAATTTTAAATATTTGTCTTTAACATTGATGTGCTATCCCTGGATGGATTGTTAGTCTGTTTGCAGGTGGTTAGTTTTTTCTGAACAGAAACCTGACTAGTCATTTACCTTTGTTCCTGTGCCTTCTCTTCTCTGCAAATAGCTCAGATAGGGTTTATGATAAAATTGCCATTGCAAGTTTAAATAAGACAGCTTACTTGGCACTGTTCACTCTAAAACTTTTTTCTGAAGGGTTTACTGATTTGCCATTTTGAGTCATACTGAAGGTATAATTTTCTTTCCAAGTTATAAGTAACTACCTAAAGGTAGTATAATTATATATTAATACTATGGCTTGTGAACATAATAGTTTACTGTGTTATCTAAGTTTCATAATGAGGATGTATGGACATAATTTAAAAGTAATTAAATGTTTCCAGAATCAGAACTGAGAGAGATGAGAGGCTAGCCCTTTTCTTGATGCCTGTTTTGTTAAAGGTGTAATGAAAAAGTCTGTATATAATTTGATGGAGATTAAAGATCCTTATTATATTTCACAGCTTTAAAACTCTTTGTCTGTGATCTTGGAATAAAGAGAATAGTCTACTTGTAGGATTTTACATTGCAGAAATAGTTTTACATTTTTATCTTAACAATGTGTATAGTTTGAAAAGATATTTAGTATCTCTGCTTGGGTGACACTGAGCAATTCCTGAAGACCCATTCTTTGAAGTAAACCTGATCCTTTCATTTAGCCTTTTCATCCGTGGCTGCTACGTGTACTCTTTTTGTACCGGAAATCGAACTCATGACCTCACACTTGCCAGGCAGGTGCTGTGCTGCTGACCTATATCCCCGGCTACATGTACATTGACATAAGTAGTTGAAACTGGCTATTAGTACCTGAGTAAACCTCGTATTTCCTTATAAGGGAGAGATTGTAAATACTGGTCATGGTAGAATGGTATTAATGAACCATATATTTTTAAGGGCTTTAAAATGACACAGTGTAATGCTTCCTTCGGCAGCACATATACTAAAATGGTACAGTGTAGCAAATTTGCTTTCATTTTCTTTTATTTTTAGCATTTAAGCTTGTGTTCTTTCTGAAGTTCCATATAGCCTGCTTCACCATCCTTTAGTTGGTTGTACCTGGAATGAAAACACAAGCTTTGGAGTTGGACATATTTTTTACTCATTTGGTATGTGAATCTCACTAAGTGAATGTGAATCTCACAATTAATTACATGACCTTAGACAAGTTACTTAGTCTTCACTCCTAATTCCTCATTTGCAGAAAGAAAAATAATACCACTTCATGGACTATGTCTATGAGCGCTATATGAGAAAAGTGTGGGAATAACTCCTGGTGAGTAGTAGACTATTAGTAAATGTTAGTGTTTGCTTTTCCTTCCATCGTTAGCTATAAACTCCTTGTTATGTGTACGAGATCACACTTTTTTGGTGCAAGCATATGCTGATGTACCAAGTTGTATTGCAATCCTTTGAACATGCTTTTCTGAAAATATACCTACCAATATTTTGTTCCATGATATAAAACTGATAGAAAGATGAGTGAAAAGTATCTCCCTGTTATTAAGTGATATATAGAATGGTTAGTATGCCTTCCATGAAGCCTCTCTGAACTTTTTAGAGAAAGTGTTTTGAATAGTTAGTTAACTAGCATATATGAATTTGCAGAGCATACCTATGTGCCAATAATCATCTTAAAGTTTTGCCTAAATATGGAAAGTAAGAATTTACTTCTCATAGATGAGAGGAAAAAAATATCAAAAGTTTGATTCAGTTAAAAGGGTTAGTGTGAGTCAGGGATGATGGTGGTTCATGTGTCCCAGCATTTAAGAGGTTGAGTCAGGCATGTTATGGTTTATATAGAGATGTCCCCCAAAGCCTCATGCTCTCATAGGTGGGGCTTTGGGGAGGTGATCGGATCCTAGGGGTGTGATACCCATCAATGGATTAGTCCACTGATGAGTTTATAGCTAAATGTGATGTTGGGAGGTGAAGTGTGGTTAGAGGATGTAGGTCACTGGGGGCATGGCCTAGAAGGATGTATCTACCTCCCTCTTCCCTTGATTGCTCTCTGCTTTCTGCTGTTGCTATGCCCCTATGCCATGCCATCCTGCCTTGGAGCCAGCTGACTATCAACCAAAACCTACAAACTGTGAGCCAGAATCACCCTCTCCTCCTTTAACTTGTAGGTGTCAGATGTTTTGTCCCAGCAAGGGAAGGTACCTAAGACAAGGAAGATCAAGAGTTTGAGGCTAGCCTAGGCTCTATAGTGAGACTCGGTCTCCAGACAAACAAGAGAGGTTGATGTGCCCATGCTCTGTGTATGCCTCATTGTGCTCTGGATTTTGCAAGTTGTAGTCATTGCATGATTTAATCAAGACTGAGTTTTTCACCTTTCTTCCTTTAACAAATATTAATTTATGGAGATTTCCGATGTGGAGTATGGGCCTTTGCTTTGTTTTAGTATCATCTGATAGCTAGGTTTATGCACTCTTTCCAAGTTATGTACTTAATGCTAGGTATATTTTTAATGTTGAATCATAAAAACCCAAAGATTAGATTCATTCGTATTACGGCTTTTTGAAGGCCTGACTTGCTAGATCCCCAGCTGCTCATAACATTATACTTTCTCAATGCAAAAGACCCCTAGACATACTGAATTTGATCCTACAGGAGAACCACCAGAGCATTGCTGATTTATTCATGAGTGAGTTGTTTTGATTAAACAAATGGCACCTAGAGACCATGAATACTTTTGCTGAATGGCGCTGAGCTCAGAACATCATAGGTTCTCCTTATTCAGAATCTACCGTTTTTAGACTTTCTAACCTAAAAATGCTTTCTAAGCATCCTACTGTTTCTCCTATGTCATCTTGAAATGTCCAAGGGGTATTTGTTTCCTGTTCTTAGGAATCACTGTTCTTAGGCATCAATTTCCTGTTCTTAGGAATCACAGTCATAGTGATACCTTCTGGCCATGGATTCCCCCTAAAGAATACAATCATAGCTCATACTTCCTGGGTGTGCTGTAACTTTGTTGAGTACTTACACTGGGTTTAGTGTTTTCCAAACATGATTTCATGTTCACATTGTGTTCAAAAAAACACATAAGCTTACAAAATTAAGACTCCAAGGGGTTAAGTAACTAGTATAGGATTCTGGTTTGTTGAATATCAAAGCCTGCCATTGTCTTATACTGTGGCAGTTCACCATTTGTGTTATATTCAGGTCTACCTTCTGCTCCTTACTCTCGTCTTAGTTACTTTCACTTCCTCTTTTTTGACAGTCTTGCTATTGTCTCAAAGGCTGGCCTTAAACTCCCTGGCTCAAGTGATTTTCTGCCTCATCTTCCAAGTACCTGGGACTACAGGCATGTGCCACTACACCTGGCTCAATTACTTTTAGAGGGAAGAATATCATTTCGCAAAATCTTAAACACAAGAGTTAGCATTAGTCTGAAATTTTTGCCTCAATGTCTGTCCTTTCTAATTTTTCTGAGTTTTCATATCTTCCTTCATCTGTTGAACATTGTGTCACTTTTTTATTCTGATACTAAGTGGTGGAGAAATGTAAAGAACATAGTCCCACTGCAAATTCACATCAGCCCACATGATGTGACCAGAAATGTGCCCAAACCTGAGTCATACCTTAGATGATGCAAACCAGCTTAAGCAAAATCAAATGTATTAGACACTAAGAAAAATGTAAAGAACAGCCCAACCCATTGTGAAAAATCACAAAGAAGTTTGGAGTTATTTGCAGAGCAGAGCTTTCAGTACAGTCTTCTCAAGAAGAGCGAACAATCCGGGGATCTTGTGACTCCCCTTCATCGGTCTGCACCACTAAATGCTTTCATTATGCCATCTCCTCACTCCAGAACTCCTCCCCAGCCTTGTTCCTTCAACACTATTCTGACAGTGTTCAACACCATCCTACTCCTTCCTGTCTCTGCTCTTTCTCTTGCAGTTCCCAAGGCGCGGGGCTCAGGCTCAATGTCTATTACCCACACTCTCCTTCAGCGTCTCAAGGGCTCTCCTGTCTGGGAATTCCAGAAGTCTCACAGGCTCCTTCATTCTCATTCGTATCTTCTCTTGTTTCATCAAACACATTTTTTGTTTCTCAAATTTCTTTCCAACTGCTCTATCACTCTCTCACAGTTTCAGAACCTTAGGTATCACTCCATCTCCCTCTTGCCTCGCCTTATCCAACTAGACAACTCTGTTGACTACCTTCTTGAAGTTTCTTAGTTCTATCCTGCAATGATGTAGATGTTAAGTGTCCCCCAAAGGCATCCTGGCTGTGCTATTAGTAAGTGTTGGAAGCTTTAGGAGGTAGGCCTCAGTGGGAGGCCTTTTGGTCATTGGGGGCATGCCTTTTAAGGGGATTGTGGGACTTTGGTCTTTGTCTTTCTGCTCTGGTTCAAGATATGACTCTGATCTTCAACATTTGCTTCAGCCTGAGGAACGATACCCAGATACAAAGGTTGACATTTGACTCCTTTTACAGCTATCCTTCCAAACCATGACCTACTCAGTGTCTTCTGGATGGACATTGTGTGACCTGACCCCTAACTTCTGGTTGACACAAGAAAAAGCATCTTTCCTCCTCTCCACTTCATTTAATTCTACCCATCACTCAGATTCTGCTTCTTTGTGAAAACTTTCAGTCAATTGAATGCCTGTTGTGTGACAGGAAGGGCAACAAGATACTGGATATGTAATGGCAAAGGAGATAGCCCAACATCTTCTCCCACAGAGCTTGCATTCTAGGTGGAAGACAGGCAAGTCAGCAGCAATGACAATGTGGCATGACCAAGGCTCTGACAGAGGAAGCATGTGACCCAGTTTGATATTTAAGGTCCGATTCAGAAAATGAGGGGGAGCTTAGCGAGGTGAGGAGGTAGGACACTGAACATCTCAGTAGAGAGAACAACACATGCAAAGGTCCAGAAAAAAAGACAGCCTGGTGCCAGGCCAGTGGAAGTGGAATTGATGGAAAAACAGGTGAGTATAGAGATTGGTATATTAGGCAGCTTTCTGCCACTGTGACAAGATTCCTGAGACAAACACATTATATGGAGGAAAGGTTTAGTTGTCTCATAGTTTCAGTTCATGTTCCCTTGGCCTTGTTGCTTTAGGCCTGTGATGGTACAGTATATCACAGCAGAAGCACATGGTCTGTCTACCTCATGGCATCTGGGAAGCAAAGAGAGAGAGGCAAGTGACAGTTTCAGTATCCCTTGCAGTGGCACCTTCTAATGACTCAACTTCTCACCACTAGGCCCCGCCTCATAAAGGTTCCACCGCATTCTAATTGTGCCATCGCCTGTGGATCAAACCTTTAATGCATGGGCCTTTGAGGAAATCCAAACTATAGTACTGAAGCAGGAGATGTTAGTTGTGTAATGGAGTTTGGTCATTGAAGGGTTTTAAGCCAGGATGTGATTTTGAATTTGAGTTCTGGAAAGAACCTGTTGTCAGGAGCATATAGGTTAGACTGGAGATGGGGGAGGCTGCTTGGGAGGTGATCTCTGGAAGCCTGGATTAGGGATATGGTAACATATATGGAGATAAGTATATAGATTCTAGAACTATTTAGAAGAGAGACAAAATATTTTGACTTGGTGAAGGAAGAATTGAGATGAATGAAGGGAAAAAATTGATGCTCAGGTATTTGGCTTAAGCAACCAGGTAGATGGTAGTACAGTTTACGGAGACAGGAAGTACCAGAGAAAGAGTATAGTGAGGGAATTGTTTTGCTAGGGCTGCCGTAACAGGTACTAAAAAGTAGGGGGCTTAACCAATAAAAATTTTTTTCTAGCAATTCTGGAAGCTAGATGTTCCAGGGCTAGCTCCTTCTGAGAGTTACAAGGTTTTGCGTGTGTCTCTTTGGCTTGTGAATGATCACCTCCCCTCTTTGCCTGTTTCTTCATTTTCCCTTGGTGTCCTTCTAGAAATAATCTCATTTAAATTGATTACTTCTGAAAAGACAAAGTCACATTCAGAGGTACTAGGGGTTAAGACTTCATATAAATTGGGAGGGACACAGTTCAACCCGTAGCAGGAGATATAATAGGTCTGGTGATTTGAGGGAACTTGGCACATTTAGGTTTTATGTCCAGTAAGAACTAAGAATCTGAGTCTGAAGTGTGAGAAGATGCTACTTATTAAGTTTTTGTATTTTCACATTGTGATGGATCTTTCCCTTTGTCACACAGGCCTTGTTGCTCTAATAAATACAGGTGTTTGCATGAGGACGGTTTACTGAGTCATTTGATTCTTTTAGTAGTTTTATACTGTAGACAAAAAATGTAGAGAATTTTACCATTTGTCCATTATCATATGGGGAGAAAAATTAGATTTGAGTTTAAAACTCCAAATACCACACTTTGTAAATGTCGGCAGATGGCAGTATGGAGGAAGCAAGAGCTGGATGATGAATGGAGGAATCCATGGGTGAATGGGTGGGGCTGGCTGAATGAATGAATGAGTGAATGAGTAGGTAGATAACCGGATAATAAGAGTTCACATTTGTTCAGAGCTGACTGTAGGGCAGTTACTAAGCTAAGCATTATATATAAAAGTGTTTATTTAATCAAAACCTCTAAAAGCATGGTGACAGTTACCCTTATAAGTCTAGTTAAAGAAACTGAGGCTTGGGAAGTTTGTAATTCTCTTAAATTATAGGGTCAGGAAGTAGGTTGAGGCCAGATCAGAACTTGTCAGCTGGAGTATTTTGAATCTCTTTGCTAATTAATGCAGTACTCTGAAAGGTATAGATGATTCTCCAGACTCAGGTCTTCCCTGGCTTCATTTGAATGTACAGTCAGTCAGCAAGGGCTTTTTTTTCCCCTTTTTTTTGATAACTATAGGTGAGTAGGACTAAGCCAGTTACTTGAGGGAAGCCCCTTCCTTTCTTTGCCCTTCTAAGAGGCTTGTTCTGATGCTACTCTGTATGCCAAATGTGTTATGACCTTAACACATTCATGGTTTAAATGTTGGCTTATTTTTAATGCCTTCTCATTTTTTATCTGCCCTAAGCATAAAGAAATCTGGCGTGCTCACTTTGTTCAAGAGAACTTTTTACTTGAAGTAGAACAAATACATAAAGTGTACAAATTATACATGTTCTGCACAATTTTCACTGTGTGAATGGGTCAGCATAGCCACTACTGAGATAAAGAAACAACATTACAATCACTCAGAAGCCCTCCCGATTCCTGTTTCTAGTCATCATGCCTTAACAGTGACCCTCCACATACACACACCAGACTTCTAATACCATCATTAGTTGTGCCTGCTTTCCCACTGTATATAAATGGAACCAGACTTTGAATTCGTGTCTAACTTCTTTTGCTCAACAGTACTTTTGAGAGATCTGGGATATTGTATATGGAAGTTAGTTCATTTCATTGCTATATAGTATTCAGTACGTATCAATTTTCATTTACCCTGGGTAAATGATACATACTAGGGATAAATGCATTATTGACCAGCTTCCCCATGTCTATACCCTTTGTCATAGAATTTTTCAGGGTCTTTCCACAATGGGTAGGGTGTAACTCTCTGCCATCGGTTTGGCTCTGTGAGTTGTTTTGGCTTAGAAGACAGCAAAAGTGATGCAGTCTTACAAACAGTGCTTAGAAGACTGAGCTTTTGTGTCACCACTGTTGCTATGAGACAAGGATGTTCAGGCTGGTCAGGCAGGATGGCAGACATGTCAGCAGTGCCTCTCTTGGCCCTCAGTGCCTAGCCTAGACTAGCTGGCAACAGGGTCATAAGCTTAAAAAAAAAAAAAAAAAAAAAAAAGTTACTCTGAATGACCCAGAGATTATTGTGGTTTTAGTTCATTGACACTTCAGTCTACTGTTGATGGACCTTGGTGTTGTCTGTTTGGGCTTAGTACTGTAATGTTGATAGGAACATCCATGTACATGTCTTTTGGTACACGTATCTATAGTTGTCCAAACTGCTAAATAACTTACAAATTACTAAAAATGGCTGTCTGTATGCAATTTCCCTTACTAATTTTCTGAAATATACCATACATACATATAGTAAAAGTAGCATTTATGTGCCTGTGTTTTCATTCAAGCCTTTGGAGAGATTTATAGTCATTGCAGATGGTCATTCCTAAGAGCAGGTGGTTGGGAGCTGGCTCTTTACCTGTGTGTGCAGCTGCTGTTTTTCCTGGATTCATGGGACTTGGGAAGCCAGGGGGATTGCTGCCTGGTAGAACCTAAGTTGTGTTTTTTTCTCTCTGTCGCTATAAGCTAAGCTGAACCCACTTTGAACTTGTTGTCCCCCAGTTGGTGCCCTTGTTAGGGCCATACATCACCCACATGCATCCCTCAGACAACCATTTCAACTATATATCACCCGGGAGAGCCAGGGTGCTCCTAACATATTGCTCTTATACATCAACAAAGTGAGCTTTAGCTGTGGTAATCTATTTGTGTAATACACCATCAGGGTGAGGCATATTGATAGGGCAAAGCTGGTCGATCTGTGAATTGTGTATATCTAGTCAGGTCAAGAGAGTAATGCAGATTTCAGGCTGGATTGATGTGGCTATGAATGGTATTTTATGATGTAAAGTTTACCTCTGATTTAGAAAGTAATTTAATGTGGGTGACATCTAAGGTTGGGGGTGAGAGAGGTCAACATGGCAGATGCCCAGAGCTCTTGGAAGATGTATTTCAGGAATAAATTACTGTTCTTGATACTTTTATTTCATTTTGTGATATGTCAATGTCGGCACCAGAAGACTGGCCTGGAAGGAAAGTTTTGCACACAAAGCAGAATGAGCTGTTTTGCTGGCTGCCAGCTGAATAAATATGAGGAAAGTGTGGCCTCCCAAAGGCTCCTTTGTCATCTGTTTTAGTTGGTCACAGGTACATTCTCAGGGTCTTGCTCTTGCCCTAATGCTTATGTAACAAAGCAGAAGTTGCAATGTATAAATTATTCACAGTTTCTATGAGACTTGGAGAATAGAATATAGTGTTTGGGCAGAGAAACAAGAAGCACAGAAAGGTGCAGTGACCAGACCCCAGTCGCTGTTCCGTGAGGACCCAAATCAGCAGACACATGGCTGTCTTTGTTGCTTGGGAGAGAAGGTATGTTCTGTAATGCAGGCATACCCAAAGCTTTGACTAGGCATGGAAAGAATTTTCTGGTGATTCTCAAGAGTGGTCCACAACTTCATTAATACAGTAGCCTTCTTCTGCACTTTGAGTTACCCACAGTTAATCATAGTCAGAAAATACTAATACTTGTCTTGATTTTTTCAAGAAAGATCACATTCTTATAAGTATATCCCAATTTCTTTTTAAATTGTTTTTTAATTTTGAGACACAGTCTTGCTAAGTGGCTACATTGCCCATGTTACCCATGCTCTTGACTTTGAGATTCTGCCTCAGCCTCCCAGACTACTGGGATTAAAAGTGTGTACCATTGAACACATAACTTTTATTATAGTATCTTGTTATCATCATTCTATCTTATAATTAGTTGTTAATCTCTTAATGTCCCAAATTTATAAATGAAACTGTACAAGAGGCATACATGTATAGGAAAAAGAACATGGTATATATAAAGTGTGGTACTATCATGGTTTCAGTCATCTACTGGAGATCTTAGGATGTATTCTATTCCCCAAGAATAAGGGGACACTACTATACAAAAACAGTGATAACTATGACTTATGAAATAATTTCTTTCATTCACTTAGTCCTCACAGTATCTTATGAGTTAGGTGCTGTTATTGTCTGCCTTAACATGGAAAAAAGTGAAGCACTGAAATGTTAAGTGACTTGCCCAGTGTCACACAGCTAGTAAAAAATGAAGAACCCTGGTTATCTGGATCTATGGCTTCTTTTCTTGACCATCAAGACAGAGTCTCAAATCTGAATGCCTATCAGTACTACCTGGGTGGTTTTTAAAAAATATCAGTACCTAGTGGACTTCAGGCAAAAATAAACATAGAACAATTATAGTGGAGGACCTTGATACACCACTATCACAAATAGATCAACTAAACAACAACAAAAAAATCAAACATCAGAGTCGAATCACATCTTTGAGCAAATAGACTTACTAGGTATTTACTAGGTATCTACAGTGTTCCACGACAACAGAATACACATTCTTCTCAGCAATACATGGAACTTTCTCCAAATTAGGTTTGTATATTAGTCCATAAAACACAAGTAAATACAAAAGAATCAAAATTATCCCATGCATATCATCAGATCATAGTGCAATGAAAGCAGAAATCAGTGGCACAAGAAACCAAAGAAATTGTGCAAACAGTGGAAATTAAACAAGTACTCTTGAATAATCAGTCACAAAATAAATTAAGGAAGAAATTAGATAGTTCCTAGAATCAAATGATAATGCCAGAACAGCATAGTAGAACCTATGGGACACAATGAAAGCAGTCCTAAGAGGAAAGTTTATAGCCATGAATGCCCACATTAGAAAAACGAGTAAGCCCAAATAAATGACCTAATGATGTACCTAAAGATACTAGAAAAACAAGAATAGTCAAAACTGAAACTTAGTACAAGGAAGAAAATCATAAAGAACAGAGTAGGAATTAATAAAAAATTAAGATTAAAAGCAATATAAAAAATCAGTGAATTAAAGAGGTGGTTCTTTGAAAGATTAAGCAAAATAGACAAATCTTTAGCCAATCAAAAAAGGAAAGACCCAAATCAATAGAGTTAGAAATGAAAGAGGTGGAATCACAACAGGGCTGAATATCAGATTATTAGCAGCTATTCTGAAAATAATAAATTGGAAAATCCAGAAGAAAGGGATAGATTCCTGGATATACCTAAATTACCAAAACTGAACCAAGAAGATATAAAAACCCAGAATAATCCAGTAACAGGCAATGAAAGTGAGATAGAAATAAGATATCTGACAACTAAGAAAGGCCCAAGACCAAATGGATTCACCACCAAATTCCACAAGAACACAAGAACTTTGGGAAAGGTCTGACAAAATACTGTACTTCTCAAACTCTTTAATGAAATTAAAAGGGAAGAAATACTTCCAAACTCATTCCAGGAAGCTAGCCATTACCCTGGTTCCAAAACCAGGTCCTGAGTTTGATTTCCGGTAGCAAAAAAAAAAAAAAAAAAGACCTTATCTCAATCAGATGAAAGCCATTTAAGACAAACCTACCACCATCATATTAAGTGGAGAAGAGCTGAACACTTTCCCTCTAAAATCAGA